ATATATATTCTTTGAGGTTTAATTGCAGTGTTGGCTCATTGAGATAAATAAGTTGGTTTTGTGTTGCTGTTTTGGTTCTCGGGCTTAAAAACGTTTGCCATTACTGCTCTAAACTACACAGAGTATCTAAATATTGTGTTACCTAACACATTACAGTAGAGCTAGCAGTTCAGAAATCTGATGCAGTAAAGCTGCATCCATTAATGCGACATCGAATGTCACAAACGCATTTTACTGCTTCATCGCTGTGCTTGGTTTCGTACACTATTCAGCAATGGGTTTGGATGAAATAGTCTATTATTTAAATGAGGTGCCCACAAAGTGGACCATGAAGTCAATCAGAATGCTATAAAAGAGGAATGTCATATGGAAGGATAAAGAAGGATTTTACCTGACTGGGTCAGGGATGCCTTAGGGAAGCGTTTAATTTCAATTAAAGAAAACCCTCCTTTACCATCACTGTCCCCAGAGTAGAGAGTCTAAACACTAAAAGCAAATGGAAGTTAAGTGGATAAATAGGCCTTTATTAACACATTTTCAAAACATCTGGAAAATATATACATAGGATTTAAATATTGTCAAATTAACATTGGCTTATGCACTAACTTGAGTACCTCATGTCTTTGCTATTTGGAGCCACATGAGAACTGGCAGAGCCTTGAATTTCTGTGTCTTATCTACGTGCTAAGATCTCCATTACTTGGGTACATTAGGGCTGGAAATAACCTTTTCTGTCAGGTACCCAAAATATGTGCATAACATAGCTTAGTGACTTCTTCTCCAACTGTAAATTTAGCTGTGTAAATAATGGTTCTATAATATAAACTAAAACATAGAATGCAAAAATCTATTCATTAGATTATATATCCCCAATATCAACGGGGTCTCCACATGACAATAGCACAGGGTCTACAATTAACAGTGAATTAACAGTTTTAATTCCTATTTGAGGAAACAAGAATAACTGATATAATTCAACCAATACCAGGTACCTACTGATAGATTACAATATTGAAATTAAAATAACTTACCTCATCCTTGTATACAAAGAACAGGATAAGCAAAATCAGCTCTGCTAACAGAATTATCAGCAATATGATGAAAAACTGTAAAAGAAAAAAGTCAAAATTACATAAGTTTAATAATATTAATTATTATTTTTACATAGTATATTTACTGAGTATTGCCATAAAATCTGCAGTATATGCGGTTAGGGATATTATTTTGTCTATATTGACGTTATAAGCAGAGATTATCAACAATATTATTTTTCCAGTTTTACTTAACATGTATCCCTGTGGTCCTGTCTATTTTATTTTTACATCTTTTTTAAGGCACTATGGGCAAATTAGGGAATTATAATAAACAGACTCAAAGAATCCTGGTTTTATTTCAATATAAGGTCCTCAAGGAAAGATCCTCAGGGTAACACAGTGGCATCTATAGGCTTCTCAGTTGGACCTTTTTTAATTTGCTACTTCTAAGTATGCTATGACAGTTGTAGAGAAAAAAAAATATAACTGAAATAAGTCAATGAAAATGTAATATTGTTTAAATTAAATTAAAATTTGGGGGAAGGCAAA